ATTTATAGCCTGATAACTTCGCAAAAACAAGCTTACAGTGTAAGTTTTCTCAAGAGCATTGTTCTCATAAAAGTCCTTGAAGTATAGCGAATCTGCGAGTAGCTGTTTCTTTATTAATCACTCAGAACAACTGGTCTATGAAAATCTGTTTCAGTATCGCCCTTCGGATGTTCCGAGAAGCAAGTCCCTTACAAGGATTTATATGGAGCAGCGCTATCATCGATCGGCACGTTCATCACTCTTTTCGGTGTTACCCTTACGAATGGCTTATTTTCAGAAATCGGTGCCTCCATCGTTGCAGAAGCGGGAGCGAAGTGAACCAAAAGTGACCTTCGTTGATAACTCTGAGTGAGTAACTTCTATAACACTATCGCTATTCTAAGCCCGACAAGCAGCAGTAACTGTTTAGCGGTATCACCACCAAGCTGGAAGTAACAGAAACTGTGGAAGAAAGCACTTTGAAGGGTTTGATTGAAAATGATCAAGAGGAGTGCGAGCATTTGCAGAAAAAACTCCCACCGAGAAAGAGGGATTGGGAGCACGTGCGTGACGTGCATCTGCAGGTTGTTGTTTGGGCTTTTAGGTTTTTGTACAGAATGAAAATGGGAAAGCTTTAGTAATTCATTCTAGGTTTCCGGTGGAATATCTCAAAAGGGAGCAGTGTTCCGAATGGGCGAACATCTTTATGGTTTCGAAACCATCCGTGATTTATCATTCCAAGCCGCAGATAACATTGATAGATTTTTTGGTAGAAAACCTCCGGGTGGCCTGCTGTATCAATCACCATACCACTTCCTACACGACTACATTGAAGATTATGGACGAGGGTTCTTCAAGTCCTCATTGAGTCGGTCAGCCTACGATCTATCCGAGTGGAAAAAGCAGCATTTGGAGACACCAAGCATAGGCAGCCCTATGAGCTCATCCGAATTCGATCTTAACAAGATGGACATGGTTTCAACGAAGGAATACCCAGAGAAGGTCAGGCAAGACAACCTCCTTCTTGGACAAGAATCTCCGTATCGGGGTCTAACAACTGTAGACTGGGGACCTAATCGCGCCACTTATAGCAGAGATGATCGCGATGTTATGCATTGGGAGAGCACCTCTGACAGAATCTCTTATCCTTCTAAAAGGCCCCTATCCTCGGCATCTGTCTTATCGTCGTCCATCGGAGCCTCAAGCATGGTTCAACTACCCTCGTATGTATCAAAGAACTACAATGGCTTGAATGACCAGAGTCCACTGCGCACTTATTCGTCTTTGCACTCCGTTAATAGTCTGAGACCCTCTTCCAATGTTGAGAATTTTGAATGCAATCAGCATCTGGTGCGAGACTACCACGACGCTTCCGACGACGGATCGATCTTCTTGCTCTCTAGCGCAGACGTAAAGCCGATTGCGCCAATGCTTCAGCCGCAAGACAGCATAAGGAGTATGACATCGTCGAGACACTCCACAGCTGAGTATCTTTCGATTGATCGCGAGCCCGACAACCATGGTGATTTGCGATCGCCCATTAGTCCGTATTCGGACAGGTACTGGAGCCACCAAAACACCGCTGGCGACAACATCCGCACTGATGAACTGCCACAAAAAGTGAGCCAGTATTGTACAGAGGTTCTGAGTAGTTGCAATTAACTTTTGACTAATTCCATTCCAGTTGCGGGTTTTTCTTTTGCAAAGGCTCACTAGTACCAATGCACATAGTAGCAATCATATTGACAACTTTTTAAAATTTTTCTTCTTGCCCAAAGCCTTCCAACAGAATCTATGTTTTGTTCAGCCTTACTTGATGAGCGTGAATGCTTGTCAGCTGAGCATCTCGAATGAACTTCAATGGTTTAATCAAATATAATATGTTCAGAGACCACCTGTAACCGACAGCGAGAGCTACTTGGAAAAGGAAACGGCGACCATCTCAGGCGGAACTTCCGAACAGCGCTACGATCCGTATG